CACCTGTCCCAGTGTCCAGGGTCCGAGCCTAGGTCCGCTGAGGAATTGGCATCTTGAGTCCGGGTTGCGTATTAACTGCGCTCTGGACGTGACGGCCGGGTCTACCGCAGGCCGGGGCGGGGCCGAGGGAAGAGGCGGGACTAGAGGCGAGGGGCGTGGCCGGGCAGAGCGGAACTGGGCTCAGCCCCCTTAATGCAGGTTCGAATCCGAACCGCTGGGGTGTAGCTGGAGACTTTCAGTCCTTAATGGACTGAAAAAGGGGATGGTTTTTAACGAACTTTATCTTTTCACAATTGTATTTTTAAAATATTTCCTTAAATCTCAGCCTGGTGGTACACACCTGTAATCTAATCACTCTGGGAGGCTGGGGCAGAAGGATCAAAACTTGGAGCCCAGCCTGGGCAACTCAGCGACTTAGCCAGACCCTGTCTCAAAGTAAAAAAAAAAAAAAAAAAAGAGCTAGGGATGCAGCTCAGTGCCAAGGCCCTGCGTTCAAGCCCCAGTAACACACAAATCCCTAATCAGTAGGGACATTTACAAAATTCAAGTAATAGAAATGCATAGGGTCACAGTAAGGTTCTCCACAGCTCTTGTCTGGGAAGCAGCCCCCTCCGCCTTTGTGGGAGGCCAGATGCAGCAAGTGCAAGAGATCCATGGGCCAGGACACTGCCTCGAGGGCACTGCCCCCTCCCTCGGCACTTCCTCCCACCAAAGGGACTTCGCCAATGCACTGCCACCGCCTGTGTTATCCATTCCCTGCAGTTTTTTTGTTTTTTGAGACAGGGTCTCACCGTGTAGTTCAAACTACTCTGGAACTCACTGTGTAGCTCCTGCTGGTCTTGAACTCACAGGGATCCTCCTGCCTCAGCCTCCTGAGTGCTGGGATTACAGGAGTGCACCACCACACCCGGCCCTGCAGTTTGTTTTAACAATGTTATCTTTTGCAGCACTGGGTATTGAACCCAGGGCTACGAACTGAACTGCATCCCCTGCCTTTTTTCCTGTATTTTGAGGCAGGGTCTGGCTGGGCTGGAACTTGAGATCCTCCTGCCTCAGCCTCTGGAGCACTGGGTTGATGAAGCTCTATTTTCACCTCGCCCTGTCAGTGAAGAAGCTCAGAAATACTTCACCCCCACTTCCCAGTCCAGATCCTGCAGGTGGTTTGATTTCCAGTTGGGTTTAGGGCTCCCCCCATCTCACTGTCACCATCATCAGTGGAGCCCTCCAATGTTCACAGCCAAAATACACCTTTTATTTTGCTTTTCGATCCTATGCTTCTGCACTGGGGATTCCCTGTGGTGCCCAGACTGGCCCTGACCCTCCTGCCTCAGCCTCTGAGTTGCTGGGACCCCCTGCAGCCTGGCTGTGCGGCCAGTGCTCGGGGTGGAGTGGGTGCCTGCCACTGCCCCACTACTTGAGTCTGGGCACGATGCGGATGAAGAGGATCATGCTGATGAAGAGGGCGCAGACCACGACCAGCATGGCCCACAGCAGCCAGTTGACCGACTTCTGCGTGTGCTGCTCCAGCCGCTCTGACTCCGCCTTCAGCTTCTCCAGGTTCTGGTCGGCCATCTTGAGTGAGTGCGACAGGTTCTGCACGCAGGGCGGGCAGGGTGTGAACAGGACAGGAGAGCGGCCTCTCACTACTGCCCCGGGGCAGCCCTAGACCTCTCCAGCTCCGCTGGTACTGTGCCCTTTGGTGGGAACGCCATAGTTCCGGCCTTCTCCCTAACTCCTGTTCATCTAACCAAGACCTAGTCACAGCGCCTCTTTCCTGAGAAGGCAATTCTGACGTCTGCAGAGTTCCCACAGCTCTGTACCTGGTTGTCCTTCTTGATGACACTCTGAGCAGCCAGCGTGTTGGTCTTGAGGCTCCGGGCAAGGCCCAGCATCTCCTCTGCCAGCTGCTCCTGCAGGTCCTGCTGTTGCCGTAGGACGAGGTCTAGCTCGGCCGCTGACTGCTTCTTGTCTGTGGGCCTGGGTCCAGCCACCCCACTGACCCCGCACAAGGTGGCCATGCAGGCATGTGAGGGCAGTGGGGCAGGAAAAGAGCCGACATGTTCCCGGGGGTGTCCTGCTGACTCAGTTTCCCCACCCCCACTGGCTCCCGGTTATCCAGCTCCCTCCGCTCCCCTGGCCAGAAGGCAGAGACACTCACCTTCGCTTTCTTGCCTCAGGCTGGCACTCTGGAAGCAAACACAGGGCAAGCAGAGAAAGGACTGGGTGCCCTTCTTCCAGCCTCTGTGCCAGTGCTGCCCCTGATAATGCCAGTTCCCCATCCTGGCTGTTGCCCAGGGGCTCCTACTGCTGCGTCAAAACCCTAGCTAGAACACCCCTTCTTGCAGAAGGCCTTTCCTATTCCTCCTGGACTCCCCAAGGCCCTCATAGCCCCATGAGCTGGGAGTGCTCAGCTTGGTCTCTTCCTGGGGCCACTCCCATCCCTGCCAGAGTCAGTCCCCTTGGCCTGGGCACCAGGGGCAAAATGACACATGTTCAGGCCCAGGTCCTGGGTTCAAGTCCTCTTCTGCTTGAAGACTCACCTCCAGCAGAGTCCTAGGGGAAGCAAGGAGAGGCATGAAGTCCCTGCTCGTTCTGTCCTGCTGAGAATGCCCACATCCACACAGATCCCAGGAAATCCCACGAGGTTTGCGGTGACTCCCAGGCCAGCTCTGGGCTCGACTAGACCACTGAACCCAGTATTGCATGGAGCCGAATCCTCCCGGCCCGTTTCTCCTTTTTCATTTTGAGGCTGTGTCTTGCCAAGTCGGTTGGCCAGGCTGGCTGGGGTCAAACTTTGGGTCCTCCTGCCTCAGCCTCCCAGAGTGCTGGGATCCGAGAGGTGTGCGACCCGATCCCACTCTGCTCAGGAGGTTCTGTTCTGCTCCGCCCAGAAACCGCACCAGCCACCTACCGCGCCCAGCAGCTCCTGCCTCATCTCGCCAGCGTAGCGCGCGCGCGTCTGCAGGTGCAG